TTTACATTGAGGGTGGTGAAACACTGGAACGGGTTGCCCAGAGATGTAGTAGAAGCCCAATCCCTGGAAACATTCAAGGCCAGGTTGGACGGGGCTCTGAGCAGCCTGTTCAAGTTGAAGATGTCCCTGCTCACTGCAGGGTGGTTGGGCTAGATGGCCTCTAAAAGTCCCTTCCAACCCAAAGCATTCTATGACTCTATGATTCTTTATGACAATAAAAAACCCAGGATAATCTTCTTTTTAAGAAACAAATAATCTGTATTGCACATGTATAGGAAGAACTTGGGGTAAAATCTCATGTATTCTATATTCTCAAACCTGAAATACTGCTGGATCAATCCTAAAAGCTCCTTAATGGAAATCAAACTCTGTCTTTAATCCCGCAAACACATATGATAGTTACACATTTTGGGAAGCCATATCACAATTCTAGTATTTTTCTTTCATCCTAAGGGCTTATTTTCTTAACTGTATTTTGGTAGAGCTTTTGTTACGACATTTCCACTTTTTAAGTAATGGACAGTTCCTGGAAACTTATTAAAAATGGATGAAGCCTGGGGTCCTCTCAGCACAATACCCTCTTGTGTAACGGGGCCACAGAAATCCGTACGGCTACCATAGCCCTTGTGCTCAGCTGAGGCTCCATGGTGCCAATTAGAAATTAATTTTCTTTAGAAAACAATAATTTGTCAAAAGTGAAATTTTTCCTGCACATATTTTTTGGCACCAGGATAGAGGTAGAAGGTAAAGAAAAACCAGAGAGATTTTACAAAGCTCAATAGTTGAGGGGTAAACTTGGAATCCAAGGGACACAGCTGGGACCTGGGCTCACACCTGAGCTCTTGCAAGTCAGGCTCTTGTGAAGGTCAGCAGCCTGTGCTAGTATGAGCGTGTATCCTGTGAGAGCTGTTTCACTTTGTATTAATAATTCAGTATTTTCAGGGAAGTGGAGAAGAGAGACTAATCCTACAGTCTAGTGCTCAAACATCCACCTGGGATACTGGGATCCTTCCCCGTCAAAACCACCCAACAAACAGGAGAGTAGGAAGGAGGAAACAGTGATGCCTCTTACAGCTTAGCAATTTTCAGCTGATCACATTAGATCAAAACAGGAAGGTCACTGCCCGAGCACTGGCTGGGAAGAAAACACCGACTGTGACAACTCAAAGCGACATGAGAGTTTAAAGTAATCTCATTAAGTCCCTCCTTTGAAAGATCTAAAAAAAGAATTGTTTTAAAAAAGAGAGACATAAGTCTGTTCTGAAAACATCTCAGGATCTGGCAATTATGTTAATAAACCTTTTTCATTATTATTTTCATGTATGTTAGACAAACCGTAGGAAACTACATGTCGTTTAGTCATTTGAAAGTAATTAAAAAGAAATTCCCTTTTCAACGTCTCTCTTTTCTGGAACAATGAACGACAATCCTCCTGCATACAGCTGCTTCCACACGAGGCGGCCGAGGAGGGAAGAGGAGGACAAGGGGAAGTCACGTACAGAAAACATTTCTGCAGTGTGTGGCCACGTAGGAGCACATTTTTGAACAGTGGAGGACAGGGAAGACTGTAAGTCGCAGTGTCAGGCTGCCACTAGGCCAGGGCATTAACGCACTTTCGTTGTTTGCTCTTGGACGGAAAGCTTCATCGAACTCCGAGGAGTGAGTTTGCACTCACCTGGAGAAGGCAACCCGCACTGTGTTAAGAAACGTGTGACGCAGCCAATTTACAAGACATGGAAGAACAGCCGTCCTTCCAGAGAACGCCTTCCTCGCAACCCCGTGCCGCGGGC